CTATATTAATAATAATATTATTACCTTACTTTTATTTATTATTAATTATTATTATTATTATAGGTCGAAGAATGTGATTTAGGACGTTCACTTAAAATACTTGATAGTATTAATGAAAATAGTAACAATAGTAGTTAGCTCAATTATAAATTGGAAAATTTTTTGCAATAATATGGACAATAACTCATTTATTTTTTGTCAACAATGATCATAAATTATAATCATCCTCAACTTCACCATCCTCAACTTCAACTGTTTTTGTTGATAATAAATCATTACTCTGATCTATGTAGGCTGTCACTTGAGTTGTGTATAAATTATTATTGGTTTGCTCTGTGAATTGACTATTAAAATCAGTAGTATTTTGTTCTAATTGTTCGTCGTAATCATCCTCACTCTCTTCTTCTTGATCATCATCGTCATCGTCATCAAACTCATCGCCATCAACATAATTGTCATTATACCTCGAAACAGATCTTCTTCTAAATTCACTTGTTTGATTCGCATATTCAACATTTCTATAATCTTCAAATTGATCATCGTCATATTCATCATACTAAAATTGATTTTTTTTTAACAATAATAAGCTAAAAAAATTTTTTTTTAAATACTAAAAAAGATTTTTTCTTACCTCTTGATTTTGTTGTTCTTCAATATTTTCATCAATCTCATCATCATTTTCATCAATATCGGCAAAACCACTTCTTCTACTACTAAAAGTTTTCGAAGGAATAACATAATCTTCTTCTTCATCATCATCGTATTCTTCTTCCTCGTTATACTCTTCATTTTGATTATATTCTTCAACATTTTTTTCAATAAACTGCTTCTTATTGTTAGATGTTTCGATACCAGGTTTATCACTAAATTCACTTTTACTAGATCTTCTTTTTGCAATATCATTAATGTTAATAGAAGATCCCTCGATCTGTTCTTTAGAATGGTGAATCAATTGATCCTCGTCATCATTCATATCCAGCTCCATTATTTCTTCTGGGCTATTATTATCAGTATACAATTCTAGCTCATTTGGAGTGTCGTTATTGTTTATGGTAAGAGTATCACCGCCGGGTGTTGACATGCCACCAGATGTGAGAGAAGATTCACGAAGTAATGAAGGTGCTTTAGGAGTTGTGTTTAGATGATATTGTAGTGGTCTTAATAAATTTGAATCTGTTTCAGTTTCTGATGGTTGTGGAGTTGAAGCATCTGTTTGTAAAATGAAAGAAGCTGTCGGTGTAGGTATGTCCTACAAAAACATATAAGTATGAATATATGAAAGTATGTATATATGTATATATGAAGAAAATAAATCGTTTTATTTAAAATCACCTCTATTGTAGGGTTTCTATTTATATTAACAAATCCACCTTCATCGTCATCATTAAAAGTTAATTTTCTATCAGCTAAAATTTTAATGTATATATAACATTACTATTATTATTATTTTATAATTTAAAATAAAATAAATTTTTATTTCTATAAATATTACATTTCATCCATTTTTTTATTTTGATGTGTTTAGAGGATGTCCATATCCATTTTTTTTCCCTAAAAACAACAAATATATCAATGATAAATGTTAACGTAAATAGTTTCATGTTATGATTAATCATTTCTTTACCAAGCTTGAACTGGTTGTAATAAGGCACGTTTTAAACGATCTTGATCAGCAGCAGTGTGATTACGAAAGCCATGGTGACGAGAAGGTCTATTTGCTGACATATTTTCTTCTTAAAGGCAGTAATAACAACAAAAAATGGTCAATTGTTTCAATTGTTAATCTTTTGCTCTATAAAAATTTTGATTGTATACAGTAACCGATCGGTGGAACTAGGATTTTTAATAAGTGGTGTGACTATTTTGGGTATTAGCAAAAATTGGTCTAAAGACCTCCTAAATTTTGGGCAAATTTTAAAAGTATAAAAGTCATTTTCTGTTCTACCTTTTAAAAAAATAGCCTCATTATTGGTAAAATAGGTTTCTACTTTTAATGTGATGAAGAGATTTTCTCCAAAAAAATTTTGTATTGTAGAGTTCTATCCTTTTTTAAAACATGTACTTTACTATGCTCATGAGAAATTTGAGCGCTAGGATCATTGCTAAATTTAGACTAGTTTTTGATCATAATTCCTAAATTTAGCCTAATGCTCGACCATCTTATCTAAATTTGGCAGTAAGGAAAATAGTTTTTTAATCAAAGTCACTTTAACCCTTTTTTAAAAAATTTATTGCATTTTTGAACGAATCACGAAATTGCAATTTTTGAAATTTGAGCGCGTGGCGCAGCAATGGGAGGATCAATGATAAATGTTAACGTAAATAGTTTCATGTTATGATTAATCATTTCTTTACCAAGCTTGAACTGGTTGTAATAAGGCACGTTTTAAACGATCTTGATCAGCAGCAGTGTGATTACGAAAGCCATGGTGACGAGAAGGTCTATTTGCTGACATATTTTCTGAAGAAAGAGGCATATTAAAGCTATGAAACTATACAATGAAACTGAATCCATACCTGATTAAAAAAACTTTTTGGTTACACGAAATTCAATTTAGTCTCGATCGGTTTCAAAAATGCTTCAGTCTATTTTTAATCTAAGGAAGTTATCTATAATTAACAGTCGAGCCCATTTTTCATACAACTTTTAAAAAACGTCACTAATAAGCTTTAAGTTTATGACTCAATTTTTTATGGTTGATGATTCCGGTAAAATGTCAACCCAGTCTTTACCTACGCTACATGCTAATGCTAGTTTTAATGCTAATTCCAGTGCTAATTTTAATGATAGTGCTAATGCTAATACTAATGCTAATACTAATGCTGCTACTATACTATTTGAAATTTTTTAGTCCCTTATTAAGTTTTGGGGTCTCTTCCATACCAACTAAAATAATAATAGTAATTGGTTTGTTTGCTAAAAATAATTTTTTTCCTTGGCCTTCTGGGCCCTTTTTATCCACTATTACTTAATTGTTTCTATTCTATCTTTCTTTCTTTTTTTTACGGCAATCAATATAAATATTGATTTTTTTCTTTTTTTTTAACTAAAAAAAAAAATAATTTTAGTTCTCTTTTTTTCTATAAATAAAATTCTGAATGGAATGATTGAAAATCTATAATTGGTTATCACCTCCATAAAAATCCGAGGCCTGTCGTGTAATCTATACAGATCTAAAATCATTGATCACTTTTTTTTACAAACGGTTACAAAATCAACAATCTATTAAAAGTAAAAAAGCTCGCCAATTATTATCACGTCATTGAAGATTATACCATCAATCTAAAAGAAGTTCTAGATTCTTGGTTGATAAGTCACTTATTTTCTTTAAATCGTCTCCCAAGCAAAGAAAAAACTCTTCGCTTTTCTCGACATAAACAAAAGACTTTTTAATTAAAATAAATTAAGATTGTCTCCATACATTACATTACATAATATTCATATAAATAATATAAAAAAATAAATAATATAAAAAATAAATAAATAAAAATTATAAATAATATTTATAGATATACACACACATAATATACTTGTTCAGTTAAAATAGGTAATTTTCTATTATTGATTAATTTATTATTAAAATTGTGTGTAGTCTATGGGTGTTTTTCTAATCCTTTTATGGTATATTTAGACGTACGAATTTATTCAGAAAAATTTGAAATTTTTAAGTGGATCATCATTAATGAGAGTCGAAATTAGCCAATGATTAAAATTATTAAAATTGAGAAATCATTTGTGTCGCTAGTAATTTAAAAAAAAATCTAAACAAGCAGGTTTTTTTTTTCGTATTTATTTTTTTCCTTTTTCTTTTTTTTCACCTCAGAACGACCAAATTATTATTAATTTCTTTAAAAAAAAACAAAAAAAAAAGGTTGCGAGGTGTAGTGATAGTAATAGTATTTTATCATTATATTATCATTATTATCATTATTATATTATTATTATAAAATTTTCAATTCTTTGGTTCGTTTCTTTTTGCGTTTCAATTTTTTTTTTACCATCCATTTCAAGAGATTTTGTTTGATAATATAAATAAAATTTAATTATTTTAGAAAAGCAGAGAAAATTAAAATTTGAAATATATAAATCACAATTTTTTATTTTCAAAATTCTTTTTTTATTTTTTGTATTTACGTTTTTTTCCAATAATAATAATAATATATAATAGTAAATCAACCCTTAAAACATAAAAAATTTTAAATTAAAGTATATTAAAAATAATAATATATCAAAAATGCCACCAACAATGCATCTTGTAGATTCCACAACTCCCGCAAACCCTTTAACTCGCCACTCCTTACCAATGACATTAAGAGCAAAAAACTATTATGAACGCGAAGAAACTCAGTCATCATCTTCTTTATCTAGATCATCATCATCATCATCATCATCAGCATCATCATCATCATCAAAGAATCATAAAAAATTTAATAATAATAATCATATGAATAATATGAATAATATGAATAATAATAGTAATTATCAAAATCCCAATTACCATCAAAATCATCATCATAATTACAAGCATCAAACTTATAATTACAATTATAATCAGAATTATAATCAAAACCAGAATTACAATCAAAATCAGAATTACAATCAAAATCAGAATTATAATCTTTACCAATTACCATTACAACAACAACAGCAACAAAATCAATAATTAGAATTGCCTTTTGATTATGACATGGCAGCCGAGATAAAAGAATTTGAGGTAACAAATCA